TTGAGGTTTTTGAAGTAAAACCAATTTTCATGATGTAATACTTACCATAACTTTAGTATGCATATACAATACCTACACCCATCTTTGTAGCCCAAAAACAAAAGATTCAAATATCCCTACCTCCCTACCGTGACGTAACCTCTATCTCGATGACAGAGCCACGGAGTGATCTCCCTTCCTCAAACCCCCTTTTATGGAGCCTAAAGGCAGCCAGGATGAGGAGGCAAGGGGAGGAATACAGGGTGGGACTCCATAAAGTTATGGTAAGTATTACATCATGAAAATTGGTTTTACTTCAAAAACCTCAATTTCATTTCAGTAATACTTTAGTGGAGGCTTCGAATCCAGGCAGACCAGGCTGACGGAACAAACTCTAGACATGCTCAAGGTAGGGAAAAGGTTCAAGGAACCCCCCTTATAAAGCCCCGAAAGTAATTAAAAAATGGAAAACCTCCCCGTGAAACGAGCAGGTGTACCACCGTGGTGCCTGATAGCATACTATTTAAAATCACTGAATTACTGTGGAGGAACAGACACAGACTGTGCAACCACCACCGGTCCAAGGGAATGCAATCCATCAGAATGAGAAGCCAAGGACCGGAGATAAAAATCCGCGAAGGTAGTCTGTCCGCGCCAGAAAGCCGCGGACATGACCTCCTGAAAGAGGGACCCATTGAGGAGGGCCCATGACGCAGCAAGGGCCCTAATGTCATGAGCTATCACCTTATACAACGCCCGAACCTGATCATCCAAATGGTCGTAGCCGTACTTGATGACCTGGCAGATCCATCTAGACACTGACTGAGAGGAGATATCCTGTTAAACCTGCTTAATGGGCAAAAACAGACGAGATCGAGGTCAGGGCAATAAGGAATACCACCTTGTAGGTAACAAACTTCAAGGAGGCAGACGCTAAAGGCTCATACGGTGCCCGCATCAGCGATTCGAGCACAAGCGGCAAATGCCACTGCGGAGCCAACTGCCGGAGCCTAGGCCTGTCCAACCCAAACCCTATAATCAAGGCAGAAAGAGAGGAGGACGAGCCTACCTCCGACCTACCATGAACAGAGAGAACACTAGCAATGGCCGTGCGATAACCAGCGATAGTACCAGGGGCAAGATTGTGGTCCCTAAACAGCCAAAGGAGGAAGTCCGCAATCATCTGGACAGTAGCCTTGATCGGATCAACCTTCCTGCCGACATACCAATCACAGAAAATCTTCCATCGTGACTGGTAGACGGCAGATGAGGAAGACCTTATTGATCGAGCGATGCGTTCTGACACGTCCCTAGAAAAGCCTGCCTGAGCGAGGCCTCCTGAGATAGCTTCCACGCGTGAAGGTGGAGGATCTCCGGACGAGAAGGCATCGTCTTGGACTGAGGCTGGCGAAGCACGTTCGCTCTGACAGGAAGAGCCAGAGCTCCGGAAACCAAGGCTGCCTCGGCCACAGGGACGCTATCAGGAGGAAGGAACACTGATGCTCCCGAAACTTCTGCAGCACCCTGACCACCAGGTTGAAGGGCGGGAATGCATATGCATGCATTCCCTCCCAATCCAGAGACAGAGCGTCCACGGCCCAAGCCCTTGGATCTGGAACCGGAGTGACAAACGTTGGCAACTGATTGTTCAGTGAAGTGGCGAACAGGTCTATGTGAGGCTTGTCCCACACCTGACAAATTCCCTCGAAAATCGAGGGATTCAGTTGCCACTTTGTCAAAACCGTCTGGCGGCGCCTGGAAAGAGTATCCGCTAGAACATTCAACCTGCCTGGTAGATGCTTGACACAAATTGTCAACTGCATTTCCTGACAAAGAAGAAGAATGCGGATAGCGAGGGCACACAGGGTGTGATACCTGGTTTCCCCCTGTCTCTCTAGATACGCGACAACCGTAGTGTTGTCCGTAGCCACACAAACCACCTTGGAATGCAGGATCTCCCGAAAAGACAGCAGAGCCAACAGAACAGCTCTCATCTCGAGCACATTCCTGTGCTCCGAGAGCTGTTCCCCAGACCACTCCCCCGACTGGCAACGCCCGTCGAGATAAGCTCCCCACCCTGTCATGGATGCATCCGTGTACAGGGTCATAGTGGGAACCGGCTTGGACAAAGGACCCCCTCGGAGAACATTGTCCTGATGAGTCCACCAGCGTGCGTACTCCTTGACCGACTGGTTCAGAGGAAGCAAGGCTTCCCAATCCCTTGAAGAAGGGACGCAGATGGCAAGGAGAAACATCTGGAGAGGCCTGATGTAAAGTCTCCCTAAGGGGACCACATCGGCCAGGGCGTGGAGATATCCCAGAAAACTGAGAAACCAACGTACCTGGACTTGAGACCGGCCGATGAAGGTCAGAGCAAAAGCCCTGGCCTTCTCAAACTTCTCCATCGGTGGAAGGGTGATGCCCTGAACCGTATTGAAACGGTTCCCCAGAAAAACAAAATCCTGAGATCGGGAAACCTCCGACTTTTCTCTGGAAGGAATGAAGCCGACCTTGAGTAAGAGTTTCAGAACCAAACGGGTGACCTGCACGAGAGACTCTCTCACTTGGTGGAGCATGAGGGAGTCGTCG